TTTAATTCCGCTTACTCACTCTTCGTCTTTACTTCGGCACCTACACGCGCCACGTGTGTCACGTCGAATTTAGAACGGCGTGCCGGATTTGGTTTACAAACCGGGTTTCCGAGGCATACGAAAGAAAGAGCGCCCGTAAAATTTTCCATTCATTGAACAGCCATTCACGCGGACACTAACAACTTCTTCGTCTCACACAATACTCTTATTCTTCTCGCGATTGGAACTTACTGAGTCACCGTCTTGCGGTTTTCTAGCCTCGCGATTGTGCCACTGTTCTGCGAACAGTTCGCGGAATAGCAAACACGAAAAGAGGAAGTCGTATCCGCGAGATCGACTCCGAAGAAGAAATCGCGAGCTATTTTAGGCGGCTTGTTTCTTCCGAGCTTTTCTAAAGTCCAGGGAATACTTCCTCGCTTTCTCCGTTCACGGTCATTACCGTCGCAGCATGTAAGCGTTGCATTATCAATGTAGATTTGCTCGCCAAGTGCATATTGAATGCACACGTCGCGAGTAATGTAGGCGCGATGCTCGCGTCGTATGTTTTCTTAAAATATAATCAAAACTCGCGGAGTGCATTTCTCTTCGGATATAATCTCGAAAGTATCATACATACATAGGTATGAAAATTTGTTTTTCTCACGCAATGAAATTTTTAATATTAAAAAGCAATTTGTAGAGAGATTAGATACCTACCAAGTGCGTAATTTTCCGTATCTGTCAGCTACACGAGATTTGAGAAGCACCCAACGTAGATGGTTCGCCACGTATTTCGCGAGTACGACGAAGCCGCTGTCCGCGATCAGGGTCTTTACTTACAGTCGATTCGACTTTACGGATGATTTACGACTGCCACGCTCTAGTGCCTCTCCTAAGAAGGGCTATCGCGAAAAAAGGTATACTGTCGCTATACTTTCCCGCGCCATAAAACATACGGTTAATCCGATAAAAATGCTTCTTCAACTCGCTGACAATAATATTGCTGACAAATTGCCGAACTGTATACATAGCGTATGCGCACTGTTAAATCTAATTTAATATAAGTCGCCACTGCTTTTACTCAATATGTCAATACTTTATACTAAAGCAATAATTAAATTTAAGTATAGTATCAATTTACCATGTAGTTTTAAATTTCAAATTGACACTATACGTATAAAAAATGTTCCTTTTTTCAGCTTGTAGTTTTCTATAGGATGAAAATTACCAAATTCACATAAACTAAGAAATTATAAAATACTTTTAAAGATTTCAAGCTTTAAAACTTTTTTAAATTTAAATTTTGTTCATTTTTGACAAAGATATCGTATATATATTGTTTTGTAAGGTAACAAAAACCGCAGAACTTTTCCTCCAACCCAATAAAATAACGATATATTGAGTAGGGGCTGTGGCGATTTAAATTAGGTTAAATTTGACTCTATAGACTTAACAGCGTATTGATTTTCAAAATCGATGTCAAACGATTGAACAAATAGTACACACACGCACTACAGCGGTTTTTCAACTGAATTTGATTCTTTTCCTTCCGTTTCATATGACAAACGTAACAGCGTTTATTTTCACTCTGATCAATTTCACAGACAATATTTATAGAGTACGTGCGTTATTTCACATTGTGATGCGTAAAATATAGAAAAATAAAAATGGTACAACAAAAAGCATTTATTTTTTGAAGCAATACAAGTTTTATAAAATAATTTACTCAAATGTGTTATCGATAAAAAATAAATTGGTATAATATTTGTTCTTTCGCTACATTACGGTTTATGGGCATCTACAACAAAAGATTTATCAGGATTTATTTGTGAGGTCAGCATAGATCTTCATTAGATCGATTCTTGAACGGTTGTTACCTTACAGATGATTTACAGAGTTTACGGACGATCGCCCTTTATTCACGATTATAAATATATCGACGCTGCGCCAAAATGAGTATCATCGAAGCGTGAACAGATTATGCTGTCGACATTTCGACTACCTTGAAGAAGGTCTCGTATCAAAATCACAGTAACTAAACTTTCTCATAAAAAATATACACTCTTGAGATAAAATTCTTTGTAAAAAGTGTGTAGTACACTCTTATCTTAGAAATACATCCAAGATTTTTTTGTATTCTTGCTTATTTAATTTGCTTGTAATACAACAATAGAACAAGTTTTTTTAACATACGAATAATGAAGGATGATGATTTTTGTAAGAGAACAAAATTTAATTGTAATTAATCAAATGATTAAATGAGTACGCAAGATTTCTATCATTCTTATAATCAAGAGAATTTCTGTTAGCGTCGCCTTTTAAGGCCGTTTTCGTCATTCCCCGATTGCCGTTTATACGCTCCGTTGTGCTTGCAGAGTGAAACTCTGGTATAACCATAAACGGAAAGTCAACGAACCGTCAGCTGACTTTTGATCAGTTTTTGTTGCCCGATCTTTAATGCGGAATTCTTCATTTTAATTCAATAATAATAAACATTGGTAGATGTCTTTAACGTTGCCTGTTTTAATCTTCTTAATAGAGCGCGGTGAAAGTAGAAGGGTATTTATACTTGCATTCTAAGCGTTACATTCTTCAGCGGCAAATCCAAATTAGGCGTGAAAGTCTTCTTACTATCTTACCAGCATTTAATTTTATTATCATTGACAAAAAGTTGGTTATACCGTTTCGTTTCAAAAGTCCCCCAAAGTCATGAATAATCTGATTACACGGAAAGAAAGATTTTACTAAAATGTTTAAAACATTTAGGTAAATACGGATCTGAAAATAATTTTATCATGCAATTCAAATAATTATACAGGAAATTCAGGCATGATAAATAATGCTTGAATTTGCAAAAAGTTTTAACGTTCTGATAACCAACTCGAATATGTCCTATCCTATTGTAATTAGTTTAATAATCCAATAAAGTTAATTTCAGATCTGTATCTGAACAATTTTCTAGATACTTTAGCTAGATATATGTAAAATTGTTCTTTCTGTGTGTGCCCTATTATTTAAAATCACAGAAAGATCAAACATACATATCCAAGATACTCCATATTCCTCGGTTGTTACGTGATCCGCCTCGCGACTGTCTCACGTTGCACGGCACTCGTTTTGCAAGACGTGCATCAGTAGGTATAATACAGGTGTTCTCTGTCCCCCACTCTGTCCAGTGACAAACGGCAATGCGAGGCACCTTACAGAAGGTAATATACCTATCCGCGTGGTACCTGCGAAGCGAGACTCGCCGCGAGTGGGAGAGGAGTGCGAGAGCTCGAAAAGAGAGAGTAAGAGGTATTCGCGCTAAGGAGGGACCTGTACCTCTTCCAACAAGTCAGTCACACACTCGGGCATGTTCGACGGGGACGTTCGCGCACGTTAAACGATATATAATGTGATGATATGCAGTGACGGTTCGACATATCCACAGGATATATTCTCGTGGGATAACAATGTCCTTGAATGAAAGGTACGAGTCTCTTCTAGGACAATGGAAGGCGAGGGCTTCATTTAGAACCTCGCGGGAAGCTGCAGAATTACCGAACTTCCTCGTGGTGACGTGTGTCTCTCGGTGAAATCGCCGGTAAATCGGGAGCACCAAGTGAGAGTAGTGCGCGCGGCTGAGTGCTTTGTTGTATCAAGTGCATTATTGTGTGCACCGTGCGGAATGCAACGTGGGTTGCTCGCCACGGTGCGTTGCGTGCCACCGCGGCCCCGGAGTGCGCGATTCGCCGGCAGAAAAGGAAAAGTTGTAGTGCACAGAGATTTCTAAATGTGCGAGGTCGTGCCACGGCGAGCGGGTGCTCCGGCGAATCCGGGTGCCAGACTTTTTAAAATCGCGCGGACTGCTTCACGATACTACACTTACGCGATTGCTTTTACGGTTACACTCACGCGAGGGTGCTAATTAAATTTTTCTAACCGGTTAGTCCAGATCGATCGAACACTTGCAGTCACCTTCAGTCACTTCGCATGATTGAAGGTTCGGTTAATTACGTAAAAATGTCACGCGGAGAAATTATATCATTTCAAGTCGGAATTCGGCTTGATCGCGAGAGACTCTTTAAAGAAGAAGTTAACTTTTCCACCGCAATTTTTAATCTGTATGCAAATCGAATGGAGATCCGATTGACAGAGAGATCGGAATACAGAATCCTAGTCTCAACAAATATCCCAACAAGTTTATCTTTGCGCAGTGACATTTAATATGTGTGTAAATCGAAAAAAAGAATTTGATGGACAATGTACTTTTAAAACTTCGGGATATTTTAAAATGGAATAGAAATTGTAGTATATGTAGTATGCTAAGTCTTGTTTTGCTTGCTAACATTTGGATTCGAATATCAATGAGATGAATGGAATCGATATTTCGCATTCAGGAATTTCGTATCTAGAAATCACAATTCATATTTGATGTGTAATAAGATAAATTTATCTTTGTCGTTGAATTCTTACCTTGACAGAATATACTTAAGGGATTGCTTAATCTGTCATCATCTTCGATTTTTACCAGACGTGATTTATCTGTCGATTAGTTAAAAATCTCTCATAGCGGTTAATAGCTACGTATAATTAAAGGAATTATTTATCGTCTTAAAATTCATGCATCATCCAATTTATCAATTTTGATGGCCGCGTAAACCGAATTCGATGTGAAACGTCAATTCTTCGTCGATAATTTTAAATTTGAACGCAAAACAAATTATCTTTCGCCGAACGCTAGATTAAATTTATACGCTGACGTAATGCACGATCGTGTTTGATTGCAAGCAGTCTCCTTTAAAAAAAGTAATCACGATCTTGAAACGTGATGTGTTAGTTTTTTCGCGGATCAATTAAAATATCGCGATATAGCAACGTGTGACTATTATATCACGTTTTCTGATCTGCATTAGTGAAAGCATATTAAAATCTGTTGACCCGAAAATTAATGATTCTAATTAAAATTCCGTTTGTATCAAACGGAATTTTACAGCGAATGATAAATTAAATAATTACACAGGAACGTCAGCAGCAAATGATTACGCGAGCATCGGTCGAATCCTCTTGCTTTGCTCAGACGATACCTTTCGCTTTCAACAGCGATTCGTTCGCAACACATGAACGTTTAATCAGCCTTTCGCGGGGATTACTTCGTTAGCTCGGACGTTTATCGGTCGTAAACGGGAACGGCGAATAACTTGGTGCAATTGCGAGTCGGTGTAGGCAGCCAAGTGGAATCTGGACGCTTCGCCTTCTCGTCGAAGTACCCCCTCGCATCTCCTCAGGGATTGTCATAGCCGAGTTTTATTATACGTTCCGGGACGTGAGTAACGTCATTACGATGTAACGCCATAGAAACCGTCATGCCAGACGAGGATTGCTCGCATTTCCACTCGGGACATTGCAGCGGCCGTAAGCACGTGTGTCGACACTGACGGTCAAGACCCGGATGATATGGGAGCTGGCAAAATGAATAGAGAGATTCCCAGCAGCACCCTCGCGACTTTGAGAGGGATTCTGGTGAGCTCGTTGTCGAGGGAAAACCTCGGCCCGCATGATCTTCCCATTCACGAGCATACGAGGCAACGATCGGCCAGAAAAGTACATTTTCATGAAGGTAAACCGGAAGTAGAAACCATTTTCAGATAACAGGCGTGAATGAAACGTGTGCTGTCTGTTATTTCTGTAATTCGTGTAATTGTGCTTCACAGTTCTTCATATTTCATCTGTGGATTTTAGGAAATGAACATAGATCTTTAATTGAGTGGTCTCTAATTGACTCTTCTTAAAGAATGGTTATATATTTACTCTCTTGATATTTCACTCCAAGAAATTTAGAGAATAATCGATATTTCCCGAAATGGCACGCACGTAAAGATTTTGATCAAGTTAAGACCGAAGTAGCGGCTGAATCCAATTTACATACGAAGCGATTCGAAGTTACAAGGGAGGACTTGATTATACGGGAGCGCATCAAGTTCCCAACATTAAGTGCATCCAAACGTTGTGCATTCCCCTATCATGATCGTGCGATAATTTAAATATAAACGGAGGAAGCGGCACGCCCATCGACCGATGACATTGTTGATCGATTACATCGATCCCCATGCGATTTATGTACTGCCATAATCATTTATGTACACTATAATCGTTTAAGAAGCGGATATAACAAGAAGATTCTCAGCCATCTCCCACGGTATATAATATTATAGATTCGCGCAATTGACGAAAAATACCAAATTATTTACTCTATTATAATAAACAATTGCATTTCATTTAAAACTCTTGAATTTTTTTAGCAGTCTGATCTAAATTGAATATAAAATTATCGTCGGAAAGCTTCTTGCAGAGAGAGAATATCAGAGTCTAATTTCCTTCCTCGTTCACATATAGCGAGTTTCTGATTCAAATTAATGTTAAAAACTTTAAATTGACTATGCATCGAGCGTTAAGTGGTGGTTCGCCTTCGGACATGTGCTTCAAGGATAGCCTCCGGTTTGCACGTTTCACTTACGACATTACGCGCGTAACTTACTCAACCGATAAAACAACGATACTTTGATTTTCTTAAACGTAATTGACCCGCCCTAATGAACAGTCATAATGAACTCCCGAGAACATTTCGAGGCGGAAACTTTGTTCGATACGGGTGGGCTCGTTAATTATCCTGAAATATCTATAATTCGGTGACCAAAACTTTCTCGTGCGAGAATGTCATGATGATGGAGACTTCATTACGCCAGGCTTATCTCTCAACCGAGAGAATTTTAATATTTACCTTGTAATTTAAATAATGATCCTCGGAAAGAACGATTTTATTGAAGTTTAAAAATTTAACGAAAGTCAGAAATTTTGAATGGCTCTCTATGACTTATAAAAATAATATAAACATATATGTATAAATATTTTTATGTTAAAATAATTTTAAATTGACATCCACATACAACCAATGTCTAACGTAACATCAGAAAGACTGATTTTGCCAAAGTATATATGGTATATACTATATATATATATATTTTTTTATCAATAAAAAAGTTATAAGCAATGGACAAAGCAAAGCATTGTCAGATATATCACAAAAAAACATTTAAAAGTTAAAATAATTACGTAGAACGCTCAAGGTACTTGCTAAAATATCAAAACCTTTTTCAGCATTGCTGGCTGTGCTCAAACGTCTTATACGTAATTATTTTGATGGTCTAACAAATATTATATTTTTAGATACTTTAGCAAAACCATTCTTTCCATGTATATTATATTAGATATTTGTCATATGTGTGTGTGTGTGGATCAATTTAAAATTATTTAAAACGCGAAGATATATTGTTTTCCAATGATGATGGACTATTCCAAATTCCTGACTTCGCTGAAAATTCCAGAGATCGTGAAAAGATCCGGTCAGCATATTGCGGTATGCGTAATGCATACGCGAGCGAATTTTCTCATCGACGGAAACACGCGACGGGGTTTCATAAAATAATACAACTTCCTTACGAGGAGTAAGGAGAAACTTGTATGGTCTATGCCGCGCAGGCGGCGATGTCCTGATAAGAATCTTGCGACGCGTTTCTCGTTAAGCGCATTAAATGCCGGCGCTGCTTAGGAAGCAACGTCGGGCAACCGCCACTTCATAGCCGTTCTGGGAACGATCGTTTCCTTGACAGCGGATCTCCCAGACAATTACCGCGCACGCCTCCTCCGTGACTAATAGAATCCGTTGATGTCACGCGCTGAAAAGTACGCCATTCTCGAATGGGCGTCGTGCAAAACGTGCGACGATGTCTGTGCTAAGTTCCGGCTCGAGTACCGATTGTTGTCTGATCAAAAACTCGAGATGCAACGCAATTGGAGTGTCGTCACGCGCTTAGAACAACTTGCACGTAAAACGCGTTCAATGAAGAAACGTGACACGTACATCTTTGGAAATGCGTGACGGCACGCGTCGATAAGATATTAGATAGATAACTCGGTGATAAGAGGATTTCTTTTTTAGGATTCTGAATTTTTCTTGTCATCGATTCAACGAAAGGGACAGTGATTGCGATTCTCGCGAAAGACGTGCATCATCATTCGCAAATCCATTAACCAGACTGTATGAACAGGAAGCGCTAAAAGGGTGGGAAACGGTACGGGTGGGGTTCCCTGATTGTTAATTACAGGATAAATCAATCCACGCCCCAATTAATTGGCTCGACGTTTACGTTTACGCGGGTCTGTCTTCCGTCTGTGTTATTTTTGTTAATTCGCATACAAATACAGCGAAAGTTCCCCTTTCAACGATAATCCTAATTCTCTAATTAGAGAGTAGAAACTTCATTTCCGACTTCTATTTTCTCAAATAACTAGAACTTATTTCTAATTAATATTATTATGAATGGCAACATAATTAAATATTAGTATTATGTAAAAATTTATTGTTGTAATCGTTACATTAATGAAAAACTGAAAGCAAGTATGTAGTTAAAGGTATAGATATATTGTATATATATAAATTATAAAGAAATATTTACACGGGAAGAACGATTTTGCTGAAAAATCTAAAAATTTAGTTAGATCAAAATAATTATGGTAAACGTTCAAGCATGAGCAACACTGCAAAAAGAATTCGACATTCTAACAATCACGTTGTATGTAATTATTTTAATCGTCCAACGAAATATCTAACTAGACTTTTAAACATTTCTTTTTAATATGCAATCGTCTTACTATACTGAGATTGCGAGTATTATTTGATAATATTAAATGGTTGGCTAACAAAGGAATAAGGATCGGAAAATATTGACGCGTGACATTTCGCTCGAATCAATATTTGACGGATGGTAACAAAATTTGGTTGGAGATTATACACGCCAATATGTACTCTTGTAGCATCCGTTTACATCGACTGAGGATCAATAGCTTCTATATCACAGATCGCTTATTGTCAACAGTTATAGATTATACATCATATATCAATATATCGATATATCAATACCTTGAAACTAGAACAACCAATATCATTCATCTCCCTGAAGGCAGAAGCAGATATAATATTCGTAGTATACTTATTATATGTATTATAAAATACTTATTATTTTATTTCTGAGCTAAAACAGAATTGTTCAAATTCCACTATTTTAATATCTCGCCATGTCTGTTAAGAAAATGTTGGTACAATATTTCAGAAAATTGATTACACCGGCGGTAATATATTTTAATAAAAAGAATGCTTATTATTTTTAAAGTATACGTTTCTCTTTTACTTCTTTTTACGGAAAAGCATTTCTCTTTATTGAGAAATATAACATCTCATTCGGAGACTATACCGTAACTATTCACGAATATCTTTATCCGCATTGCGTCAAAACATAGAGCGTTCACTAACCGTGCGATATTGTCTCATAATTTTTTGTATCTGTTGTAATCGACATAGGCCTAATATTTTCTCTTTTTCTGTTTTAGGTGAGTACTCTGCCATAAAAAGCTGCTATACAGGTCATCCGGATAATCGCGGTATGTAGACTTGTCGGCGAATGCAATTACGGAACACACTGAGTTTAGTCATTCTGTTGAACCTGATATTTCATCTTATCCAATGCTTCCAATCCAACAGTAACCCAATACAAACGTGAACCGATATGTTTTCCAGCAGATATCGGCATCAATAGAATTTCGATGAGTTCAATAATTTAGCACGATGTAGGATTCAAATCAAATATAAAAGTTCAAAAATATGAATAAATCTCGAGTGTTTTCACCGTCTGGCATAAAATGAAAATATTTTCGCATATTTGTTTAGTTGTATATTTGTATGTTATGGTTGGTACATACATATAAATTCACGTTACTAACCGCGCCGAGCTATTGGTGCGACGACACGGGAACGACCGAACAGTCTTTTAAGACAGGATGAAATAAATAATAGTCGGATTAATTCCCAAGATTAGAAGGGGAGGGGAGAATTTACATATCGAAGCCCTCGTGGGAAGTCCGCGGCGGTCACGCGATATTGCACTTTAACGCGCCTACATTCCGCGAGATCCCGACGCTCGAGGATGGGATAGAGCGAAAATGATCCGTGTGCCATATTTTAGAATCACTTTATCGGCGAAGTCGTCTTTTACGACGTCATTATCGTTCCAAGTTAGAAAGCGAGAAAGAAATTCGCCGAGTCCCTCTTCGAGAATGCGTATACGTGCTCAAAGAGCTTAATCCGTGCCCAAAGGGCGCATCGCGCAGTAAATTACCCGGATAAAACTTCGGCGTATCGCATATTATTGCGTTCGTTGCTGTTATATGTATTTCTTTCTTTCTCTCGTTGTGCAATGTGTCAAGCAGCACTTAAAGTAGTGTGGAAATATCATTAAGAAGGTCCTTTAATTCCCAAAAGCACTTTTGCAAAAGTAATACCCTACGTCGAAAGGATGCCAGGCGTGACGAGCAATTAATTTCAGATCCTTTTGAATCTTCAGAGTTTGCGAGGAAGTTTGCAGTGTGTATCAAGTCGTCGATAGTGCCAGGTCTTTTTTAATGAGCTCTTGAATGATAAAAGGAAGCTAACGTATAATACGTGACTCTTTATTAACATATTGTCGATGAGAGAAAGAAACAAAGGAAAGAAAGAGGGGGGAGGAG